AAATAAGTAAAACTAATAAAAAGTTCCAGGACAATATTTATGAAAAACTCACCTTTTGCATCATATTGAGTTGCCATACAAGTCTCTTCTTCTTCTTTAAACACTCCAAACCTGAAAAAACATCCATGTTTTCTGTTTGGTTTTAGGAAATATGTCCCTGAAACAAGCTGTTTAAAAAGGTCCATGTTTGTGATGTCACAAATGGAGAAATTAGAATAGAATTACATCTTATGTGCAAAACAGAGTTGCTGTTAGAGGAGCAGCGACTCTCCTCCAGGCCCCTCCTTGATATCAGAGCTTCTCGGCTTATAGCAGCCTGAGCGGGGGATGGGTGGGCGTGGCCAGCTCCAGCATGTTTTCTTAAAGTGACAGACCCCTGAAACGGTTCATTCTGGAAGGTATGGTAAATGTTAAGAATAAAACTGCAGAAACAAATTTTTGCTACAGAGATTTTGTACAAGGGACTTTTTTATCGATCATAGAACTATTATAACTTAAGAAAAGAAATCATGTTTCCTTTCAACACGACAGGCCTGAGCAAAGAAAAGAATGGCAGGGGGAATTCATGAAAGGCATTTAGTGGTAGACTCAAGATAAAGAATTGGTATAAAAAATAATAATAATAGAAAGTATGAGATTAGGGACATTTTCAAAGCTTCGTGTTACGGACTTCACATAACCCCAGCAGCAGCTGACATCACTCCGGTCTTGTTTTTATTGTACAATTTATGCGTAGCTTCAGATGTTCCTTCGGAACATTTTGTCAAAATTGGGAAGTCTCTTTGAGACGCAGCCAATTATTCGCCGCTGCATTGAGCTTGAGCATAATTCCTAGCAAGGGAAGATGTTTGAGCATCAGTCTCCTCTAAACGTCATCAAACCATCCCAGTAACCGGAGCATCAGACATGGTAGCTTTTGTTCAAGCTTAGGAATGTTTTCACAGCAACAAGACCTGTCGGAGCTGCGGGTGAGACATGGGAGGTTCTAGATGATCGGTCTGAGGAGCTGTTTTGTGGGCTGAGTTCTTACAAGGATTATCCATTTTCTGACACTTGCTTGGCACTTCTTTGAACACTAGCCATCTCTCCCCCAGATAGAGAAATGATGAAGTGTGGCGCAAAAAAAAAACCCAGCCCAGACACAATCTCTTCAATCCCAGCATGCAACAGTGTCCACTACCTCCAGTGAGGTGTCACTCTTTTGTTCAGCTTTGAAAAAAGCGCAGGCCACGAATAATCAAACATGACAATTTTAAAACGGACATTTTTGTGCACAAGTGTGGTCAGAGTAGAAATTACTGCTACACACACACACACACACAGAGTGTAATTGAGACAGCTCGGCTGGCTTTTGTGGACAGCATCTGCTCCGAGCACCATCATCCTCTCTTTGTACCCCACCCTCTGTGACAGGTGGGTGGGGGGGTGGGGATTCAGAATCCCCAGCTAAGGAACCACACTCTGAAGTCCCTGACACATGGTTGTTTTTTTTTTGCCTACACACACACGATCGTATACACACACCTGCTGCGAGGCCGTGCAGCAGTGCCCTATGGTGCCAGGCAGACGGAGCGGCACGCTGCGTGTTTACACCACCTGCTGTGAGGCCACAACACAAGGATGATGGATTAGAGCCGAAAGCACAACGATGAACAGCAACACATACAGCAGACAGATGTACATAAAACACACGCTAAAGGAAAGCCCAAACACATCCATCAGCTGCTCACACCTTCAGAAGATCAGTGTGACCCTGACGTCTGGTCTGCAGGTCTTTTCTGAAAGGCTTGACCTTTTGGCCTCATTCTAATATCTATAAGCGTGGAACACCACATGTGGCCTTTAGGCAGTTTTTCAATAATATACTGGATTTAAAGGGAACATTTAATGCAAAATTCATGTTTTGCATCCTCTTGGGCTACGTTGTACGTCTATACTGCCTCTATAAACAATCCAAACATGAAAAAAAACCTAATAATTTTTAGTCAGCGTTTGGTTTTGGGAATTATGCACCTAAAACAGGCAGTTGGAAAAGGTATCCATTTGTGACATCACAAACAGGAAAATTAGAATAGAACCACTTCTTAATGAAGGAGAGCTGCTGACGGAGGAGCAGCGGCTCTTCTCCGAGTCCCTCCCAGACGTCTGAGCTTCTCAGCTTACAGCGGCCGGAGTGGGGGCTGGGTGGGCGTGGCCAGCTCCAGTTTGTTTATTTAAAGTGATAGAGCCCCAAAATGGCTCATTCTGGAAGGTACTGAATATCACAAGAATAACACTGCTACATTTGTTTTATGTAAGACATTTTGCAAATAAATAAATAAAACCTCCACAAACATGTCTTATCAACCACAGCACTATTGTTCCTTTTATGATCAAACAAAAAAAGTAGTCAATTGTCGGATTAACTTTTGTCTAAATGAACGACACCAAAACTACAGAATTAAATCTAAACACGAGATCATTGTTTTGATAAAAAACAGGAAAGTTTATGGAACAACAGGAAGCAACGTTCTCAATAGAGTTAAATCCATCTGGGCCAGCTTTCCCAGCTCCAATGACTCAGTGTGACAGGACTCTGGGAATGCTGGGAAACTTTCTGGAGAATGTCATGTCTTCTGAGGAAAACACGCCACAGGGCATGAAGCTGTAGGTTGACAGTGTGTGTAGGCTGCCCCCTGATACTGGTTCTATTTGCAGAGACTTGTGCAGCAGTGAGACATTTCTGAGTTATCTACTGTTCCCAGTCACGAGGTGAGAGGCAGGTCTGCATCCTCTTGGTGTGATCACGATGAGCTGCCAAAGACCTGCGAGTGAGATGGTGCAGCCTCCCCCATCCAGACACAACCAACGACTCCAGTGTGCATTTGTTAAATGTGGTAACTGCTTGACAGCACGGTGAATCCTGCAGAAAATTACTCCGCATTAAACAGTTTACTGTCAAATTTGGCTGGAGCTAAAAGTGCACAAAGGGAAAGGCAAATCACTAAATGTGAATTAAAAATACAAACGTAGAGACGTGTCTGACACGACAGATTCCACACATTTCTGTCTACCACTCAAGGACATGCTGCTGCTTCTCTAGTCTAAATTACAGGGTAGAAGAGAAAAGGCTGGATTGTAAAGGGGGAAGAAGCAATGATGGGTTCAGGTGTTTAACAACAGCTGTTCTTCAACTAAAAACAGCAGGAGTGGGAGGACGGACGGCTGAGAGACGGGGATATAAGAATCAGAGCTAGGTGCATAGAAAGAGCATTTCTAGGGAGAGATGTGCAGATTAATTGGAGACTATTGTGACTGACAAAGGAAGGATGGCTGTAGGCAGTCCAGTGGGGAGGCAGAGTGTGTGTGTGTGTACTGTACACACACACAGCAGCTGACAAACCGGGAAGCACAGTAAAACTAACAAATATACAGTCACTCTCAAAGAAAAACCTCTGTGCAGTAGTTTAGGATTTTACTGAGTTTACACGTGAACACCGGCCACCGCTAGATATTAAAATATGCAGTTTTCACTTAGTAGTATAGGAAAATGTTTTAGTTAAAGCGTTTTCCCTTCCACTGGCACCCAGTTTGAGATGCATTTTAATTATAATCAACACCAAAAGGATATTTTAAACTAAATAAATCCGAATTAAGAGTTTAGGAGTACAAGGAGATGCCTTATTAGCCCAGTCTGAAACCTACAAAGGCATCATCAGACATCTGACTCCAGGAGCATGCACCATGAATCCCATAGTATAGGCTTTGGCACCCTCTGCAGGATTTTACAGTGGATCTCTGCCTGGCTACATCTGTAATGTTGTGTGATCAGTCAACTCTCAGCAGTCTGATCAAACTGAATTCGTTAGATTTTATTCATCTCTTAAGAACTATGATCTGCTTTGTTCATTTACTTAAACTTTGGCTCTATAGTACCAACCATCAACTTGTGCTTTGCATAATTACAAATCTTAAAATTGACCCACAAAAACGTTAACACCACCAAATATTTCCATCTGTAGGTGGCGCTGTGGCCACCCATGCTGCTTATGAAGGTGATCACCTAGCTTTCATTTCAAACATTCATCCTTGAAGATGTGCAGGAAACAGACACTTAAAGAGCAAGTCACCACCAAATCACTTTTTTTTTGCTGATAAACTAAATAAAGGAGTGTCTAATCATGCCACAGACACGTGTAGTCAATAATTTGGCAGTTCAGTGCATCTTGGTTAAAATTCAAATATTCTGCATAAAACTGTCAGTGTTGCGCCGTCGTCAGGGAAAAATTCTGCACTGTATTTGAATTTAAATCTGCCACCGCTATTGGCTAAGAGGTATGCTATGATGTCATCTGGTATATTATGATGTCATAATGCCATTGTGAGTCTGTGTGTGTATTTGTTAGCGGCTCCGCCCTCTCGGTCTGCCAAGCAGACCGAGGGTGGAGCCACTAACAAATACACACACTCACAACATTGTGACATCATAATGTACCAGTTTACATCATAGCATACCTCTTAGCCAATAGCGATGGCAGATTTAAATTCAAATGTAGTGAAGAGTTTTTACCTGACAACGGCACAACACTGACAGTTTCAGGCAGAAAATTTAAATTTTACCTAAAATGCACTAAAGTGCAAAACTATTGACTACACATGTCTGCAGCACGATTAGACACGCATTTATAGTTTATCAGAAAAAAATTGATTTGGGGGTGACTTGCTCTTTAAAGGTGTTACCAGTGCCAGGGTGGTTTCTTCCTCTGACGAGGTTTTGACTCATTGATGAAACAGCCCACTGACACTACTCCATCTTTGTAGTCCCTTTTTACCCAAGCTGGGAATCGGCTCACTAGGTCATTCAGATCGGATCATTTGGCTTTTCGTTTAATTTTTTGCCAAGACATTTAATCAATACCCCGAGACAGAGCAGGAACCACAGTGGCTACAATATAATTCAGGCTATTTAACATTTATACATTATTATAGGACCCTCCCCATAAAAAAGCAACCACACAACATTCAGTTTCTCCAAAATGTTTATTAAACAGATTTCTTGTTGGCAGCTGCAACCTGTAGAAGACAAAACAAAAACTAGTTATGCCCCGACACACCCGCCATTCTGGTCTCTAGTTTAGTGTTCTACTTCTATCCTTATTTTCTATTGTTCAAAAAAACATTTGTGCATGTTGGTGGAAGTTTTTACAACATAAAAAAGAATCCTCTAACACCAACACATGGGTAAATCAGAAGGGTTTAGGGATGTTGGGAGGCAGGGCCAGCCCAGGTCTGCTCATTAGCATGTACTCGAGCCATACGGCAGACCCGCGAAGCATGAAATTCCCTCCTTATGTTTGCCCCCCTTTACCCTCGGCTCATCACAACACCGTTCCTCTCCGTTTCTGACAAGGACCGCCTGTGTTAGCTTCAGGAAGGGTAGAAACTTCCAGTTGCATGGCACACACGATGTATAATTTACTGGCAGATGAAAATTTGCCGAAGGACAAGTGCCCCCAGAAAAGTTTTGCATGTTAGGTGCTGCACCCCCCCAGTAGACGCGCTGTTGATCTGAAGTCAGGAATTGCATTCCTGGAATTATTACAGCAAAATGCTGCACTCGTGCAAAAATAAATAAATAAAAACAGCAGTACAACCATCTGAGTCACTGAAAAGAACCTTTAAAAGTCAAGCTTCCGGTTGCGATGACATTAAAACAGCTGGGAAGCATAAAGCAGGAGCTTTTAATTTTAGCACCGCATCATACGGCGCTGCGACCGACTCGGGTCGGAGTGTAAAGCCAGTCAAGCTTTCATGAAATTTAGGAAAAAGCCAAATAATCACCAGAATATGATCTTTTACGTATAACCCGATTCATTTTCCTTCATAATCTCTTAGCCAAGTTACTATCAGAAGATTTATCATGGATAACATTACACACAAATGACAGTTTACACTGTTTTTACCAACTTTAAGACATAACTTCTCACCTGACCAGCAATTCTGTCCAGGTCTCTGGTGCCCTGGGAGGTCAGTCTTCGCCCACTGGTGAAAGGAGGAAAATTACATTTAACACTCTTATATATACGCTTTAGCATGTGCAAACTCCTCATCAATTCTCCATCCATACAAGGTGAAAAGGTGAAGAAAAGCATGAGGGGAAACTCTTGATTTGAAGGTTAATGTATAATTGAATGCATTTCTTGCCTACTTTGAATTAATATAACTAAGCCAATCAATTTGCCCTGTTGTTACAAAGTCATTAGAGTTTAGCTGGAGGCTAATCTTTCAAGCGTATAGTTTCCACTCTACATCTTGGTCTTGCCAAGGTAAAATACATCAGCTTTAGTAGGAACAAGGATGAAAGCAGGCCTTCACCAGCATCTAGACACACGCCTCCCACTCCACAAGGAGAGGCACGCACGGACGGAGACTATTTGCCCTCATACTCCGTCTTCTGGGGAGCGTTACAAAGCAATTCCCCGCCATGACAAGAGAGCGTAGCGCTGTTCTGTTGTACCCTGTCATGTCTCCGTCCAAGATGGTGTGTTTGTATTGTTTTTCAGTATTTAAGACTTTTAACACGGACAAATTTGTCCCTCATCCTCCTCTACCTCTTCATGCGCTCACCACCTCTAAACCCACATTTCCTGTCAACGCCGCTCACAAATAAAACGCTTTTCACTCCTCCTGTCGCGGGGAAATAAAACGTTATTCCGCTAGGTATTCTTCAAGCATTTCCGTGTCTGCCGATGGATATCCTCAGCTCTCATGTTTTTGAGCAAGAATGGCGGTGCTGCAGACGACAGCGGCATCCTGACCAATCACAAGCTTGCGTTCTCCGCCTCGACGGACGGATGTTTAGAAAAGAGAGCTCGACTCCGTCTGTTCTTGCGAGGGCTCTCCAGCAGACTCGGAAGGACGGAGGAGGAATCCACTCAGGGATCGTTTTTTAGAATTTGATAAAAAAAATTCAGTAAAATCAGAAGTAAAAATGCTCTAAAAGTGTTCACGTTGTGAAGCCAACATACCAAATTGATTAGCTTCCGGCATCCACACGGCAACAAAATGTAAGACTTGTTAAAATAACCCTTCACCATTATACAACACGTCATCGAGTAAGGCCCCGTTACTGCAGCACAGCTTCGGTTCACAGAACAGACCATCTTTCATCACAGCTCAAACAATCAGAACATGAACAAAACAGAGGGGAAGTTAGCAACCAACACACCCTCAAAGCTAACAGGTGTGTGTGAAAAATGACGCAAGGATGCAAACGAAGCCTTAAGCCTGGTTTATGCTTCTCCGTCAGCTCCGCAAGGGACAGACTCGCACGGATTGACGGAAGCATTTTGCTCTCATACTTCTCCGTCTCCTGGAGAGTGTTGCAAAGCAATTCCCCGGCAGGACAGCAGAGGACGTAGCGCTGTTCTCTGGTATCCTGTCATGTATCGGTCCAAGATCGTGTGCTTATATTGTGTTTTTGTGTAAATAAGAGACTTTTAACACGGACATATTTGTCTCTCATTCTCGCACCGCTTCATGCGCTCGCCACCTCTAAACCCACGTTTCCTGTCATTTCCATCCACAAATAAAACGCTTGCTGTGCATCTTTTCACTCCTCCAGTCACGGGAGGATTAAACGTTCATATTTTTAGAGTTTTTTCGCGAGGTATTCTTCAAGCTTCTCCGTCTCTGCCGCTAGTTATCCTTGGCTCTCTTTGCAATGGCGGCGCTGTAAACAACAGCGGCGTCCTGACCAATCACAAGCTTGCGTAATCCGTCTCGTTCGACGGATGTTTAAATAAGTGGGCTCGACTCCGTACGTACTTGCGTGCCTGCCGGAGCCCTACGCAAGGACGGATAATGGCGTTGTGTGTTTCCGCACTGACGCAGACGGAGAAGCATAAATCAGGTTTTAATCAAAGCCAGCTGAGATAAAACAGATGACCTTACAGGAAAAATAATAAACATAGAAGAACCGGTTGTTTTAAGGATCAGTGGGCTAAAGGCACAATTATATATAAGTGTTAAGATTTATTTTAGTTAAAACATCAATTTTCACAATAAACTCTCATACGAGGTGCTTCGTTTTCTCTATATTCTGTTAAACGAAAATATTTTGCTGTAATTTTGTGGAAATTTCTCAATATTCAGTCAAATTTGGCAAAGATTCATTTTGAATTGTTGAAAATCTGTTGATCCACCACCGATGGAACTTTACTTTGACAAGAACTTCAAACCTATCATAAATATTCAACAGGCCGGGGAAAAACATCTACAAGAACCAAAAACCCACAACCGAGAAAAACACAAGGACGTTGTCTTCAAACTTACTGAAACGAAAAACAGGAAATCTAGTAGAGCCGATTTGAAAACTGGTCACAACAAAACCTACTGGTTTACATTCTTATGAAAACATGGCTATGGTTTATTCAAATCCACCTCTGAGGCTCGCAGTATGAGAAATTTTGCTTCACAGAGTTTTGATTTATTCAAGACGAAGCACACATCCAGGTAAGTTCCCGTTAAAGCGCAGCACGGAAGACTTCCTGTGATCTAACTTTCCAAAAAAAAACCTTTCTCCATCAGAATTCACAGAACAGCCTAACTCACCCGTTGGGGTCCTTCTCAATCATCTTGAGAAGTTCTAGGGCTTGGAGCACCTTGCGGGCCACGTTCTTTGATCCTACGCTGTAATGGGCCGGGCACACACCGTTCCTCTTGCGGCCGCCATAGATCTTGGTCATGGAGCCAACACCAGCGCCACCTCGGAGATATAGGTGGCGAACTGTGGATGCTGTGGAAGAGTTTAGGTTGTCATTAAGGAGCCTGTTAACAGTCATGATCGTTTTTACTTCCTGAACCGACATTTGGACCTACCAGCTCTGATATAGAACCAGTTCTCATCACTGGGAGCCAGCTCCTTGTGCTTACCCAGCTTTACAAGGTCTACCCAGTCGGGAACCTTCAGCTTCCCTGACCTGAAGAGAAGGCATTAGCATTTACAAGACTCAGTATGCTCACACTGATGTCACGTTCTATGTTATTAGATCAACAGCATTAATTAGGTTATGCACATTGGAAATAAAAGGGGACAAAATGATCAGCAAAAAAACAAATTTCCTCCCTAAAAAGCCGACTTTCATATATGGTTCTAAATTATATCTGATGACTTAAAATTCTCAGTTTGCTCAGCTATTTAAAATTTAACCCAACTAACTGATCAAAATGTAACAAATAACTAAATTAATAGCAAACACCAAATTTCCCTTTATCAGACGGACATTAACCATGTCAGCTTAGATTCCAAAAACTCCAAGAATGGTACATAGCCGACATGAGTAGCATCTATGGTTGTCACTCTCACCCCACCAGGACAACAAACCAGAATAAAAAAAAAATGCATTCAATAGTTTCACAGTTTATAAAAGGATGTAGCACAAATACTGACTTCTTCAGGAAAGCTGCAAGGGCCCGGACAAACTCCTGCTGGTTGACGTCTTTCACTGTAACACCAGGCATCTACACGCGTAAAAAGCACATTTACAATTAGACAGTAGATTATTCTTGTCACAAAAGCCACTTCAAAACTGAATTACTAGGAAAAGTACGCCTAGCAACTAAATACTTGCACATGCCAATTAATTACACAAGATATTGGTTAAAAATGTACTAAATGATTACTAAAATGGTATGCAAAGACATAAGAATAACTACCGGTATGTAGGCGATTAGTCTTTGTAATGTGTGACAGTGAATAAAACGGTATGTTTCACATAATCACATCGAGCTAGTGATGAAAAAGGGTAGATTAAACCAGCCAACATCTGGAAAAGGCTGCAGATGTCAATGACAAGCAAGCGCTCTCAAATCTACTCTATGGCATTGATAACGTTCACACCAAATGACGTAGCTCAGAAGTTTGAGCTCGTTTCTCGTAAAGCTCAATAGAATAGCCTTTATTAACCCCACAGTGGGTAAATTCACTTGCTGTATCAGCACAAATAATTAGAGGAAAAAACAAGACGAGCGTGGGCAAACATGAGCAGTAGCCACGAGTGTTCGTTCATTCAGAAACATCTCAAAAGGAGAGTCCCCTTCAAAAACAAAATTAGGAAGCAGAGGTTAAGTCTCCACTTCATTTAATAAAAAAAACGCAACGCCACCTGAATGACTGAGAACCTGCACTATAACATCTCCGTTAACTAATGAAGGCACGCGTGAACTCAACTGTGAACGCGAATTAACGCTTCATATTTAAGCTATTACAAAATAAAATAACAAAATGCCATACAAAATAGAAGATTGCAAGAAAACACCAGAATCTACTTGTTACAAAGGAATATTTGTCTCAATCAGAAATTTGTACCGGCACGTTAGCTCGGAATTAGCGTTGTGGCTAACTGCTGTGCTAGTCGATCAATTTCAAAGGAGAATCCTTATGAAACGTAACATCTATGCGCAGTCGAGAGTACAGTAAGTCAAATGCCATAGCCGCTTTACTAACTAAACCTGGACATTTCAACGACAAACGCAATCCAAGCTACTACAACCTTATATACGATAGCAGGCCCTAACGAGGCAGCATGGGGGCAGCCATTACTAACCGCCTTGCACCAGACGCTACATTGAAATTAAACACTTTGCTACTCCGAAACGCGTCTAAACAGTTATCGCAAAGCTCAACCACTCTGTCAGTCTGTACTTTATGTCCAGGCAGATTATGTTCAATAAGTAAATATATTGGTATTAACGCTTTTATTAATATAAAACACACGAAAGATACTTAGCACTTTACCTTGCTTCTGGACAGCGAAGGGAAAGAGGGCGGAACGGGGTTTCCAGCCCATGTTAAAACGGGCAAATCCTGTTTTTTCTCGCGAGAGCTTATTTTTTCTTCTTTCTGCTTCAAAGCCACATGATGACAGAAACTAAACGCTTACAGTTATTAAAAAATACTTTGATGCAATTCATATAGACTTTGTTTGGTGTTACAGATGTATCTGTAGAATAACGTTAATAAAGAAAACATTTTTGTTACTGATTTTGGAAGTAGACGAGAATTAATTACCATGTTTCAAGGGTTTTACGGTAGCCTAATTTACATTATATATAAGTATTAGTTTATTAAAATAAATAAAAACAATAATAAGTATGATTCATGAAGAAATATTTTCTTTTCTTTTATGAAATGTATGGAGACAAGAAAGGAAATACCAAATTAGCCTACCTGTTGTCTTATGACACTGTAACATTCAAACTGTTTGACTTTTTCCTTTTTGTCTAATTTCACTTGCAAATACATTTACACAACTTCTGTAACAGGAAAAACAACACATAGAAATGACAAAACAAATGAACGTTGTTTATTTGAACCTTGAAAACAATCCAATTTTAAAGCAACTTTGTACAGAATTATAACACTTTAATAATGACAACTGCAAACGTAACTTTTAAAATAAAATGTCTAGAACAAATACAATAAAATAAACGTTAATAAAGTTATTGCCCCAATGGGGATGAAATTTTCAATCTTTAAAATCAAATAATTAAATAATGCTAAACTAACTTTAAGTGTCCTCTATTGTGCAAAATCCACTTTTTGGAGCTTCTTGTTATAATGTTATTTTCTCATGAAAAACTGGCATTTTTTGACTTCACGCATGCCTTTTTTATTCTTAGCTGCAGCTTCCGTCCAGTTCTGCTAAGCCACTGCAGTCAGATGGATGGTGCATGATTATGTCATCATATCTCTCTATCTGTGTTGAATCCGGATATCTCCTCCTTGATGTGGAGGAACAGCAGGTCTACTCCGAGCCCCTCCCAAATGACCGAGCTTCTCACCCTATCTCTAAGGGAGAGCCCAGCCACTCTTCGGAGAAAACTCATTTCGGCCGCTTGTATCCGCGATCTCGTTCTTTCGGTCACTACCCAAAGCTCATGACCATGGGTGAGGGTAGGAACGTAGATCGACCGGTAAATCGAGAGCTTCGCCTTCTGACTCAGCTCTCTCTTCACCACGACAGACCGGTACAACGCCCGCATCACTGCAGATGCAGCACCAATCCGCATCCATCTCACGCTCCAGTTTTCCCTCACTCGTGAACAAGACCCCGAGATACTTAAACTCCTCCACTTGGGATAAGACCTCATCCCTGACCCGGAGAAGGCATCCCACCCTTTTCCGAATCAAGACCGTGGTCTCAGATTTAGTGGAGCTGATTCTCATCCCAGCTGCTTCACACTCAGCTGCGAACTGCTCCAGCGACAGCTGAAGATCACGTTCTGATGAAGCCAACAGGACCACACCATCTTCAAAAAGCAGAGACTTGATCCTCAGGCCACCAAAATGGATGCCCTCCACACCTTGGCTGCACCTAGAAATCCTGTCCATAAAGGTTATGAACAGAATCAGTGACAAAGGGCAGCCTTGGCGGAGTCCAATAAATCAATTTGAATGTAATATCAGACTTTAATACCAATTACATGCAATCTGCTACTGGCCAACCTTAAAAGAATTAAAGTCGAGACATTACTGATTTGGTTGCCACATTTATGCCTAAAATAAAGTCACACAGAAACAAATAATAGATTTTCACACGGATTATTCCTCCTGCTCACCTCACAGCCTGAGCTGGCACTTTTAAACAAACACACTCTGCACGTATTATAAAATGCATCATGGTTTTGGTGGCTTGGATCATTTCTTTGCTTCATTTCTCTTGTTGACGTTTTATTTTTATTTTTTTGTAAAGTGCACCACTCTTGAATCAGGTCAGCGTGGCCACGCCACTGGCAGACGGCTGGAGAATCATTTGTGCATACATATGAACTTGGCTGAATATAATCTTAGACAATAACGCCTCGACCCTCCTGTTCAGTGAAGCTCGTTTGCATGTAATTAAAGTATAACGATTGTGAGAACAGAAAAATCGCAGCAGCGTCGCGCTTTGTGGTCATTAGAGTTTGGTATTATTCTCCAGTTGCAGTCTAAAATCACAGCATAAAGGAAAATGTACTGTTTATTAAGGCTAGACAAGTTTCTGCGTACTGGTCTCGTATTAATAAAATGTTCGAGGAATTCGAACGTTTAGACCAGGGGTGTCAAACAAGCGGCCCGCGGGCCGGATCCGGCCCGCAAGCGGGTTAAATCCGGCCCGCGAGATGGTTGTGTAACCTTTATTTTCATACTTTACAATGTAGAGTGAAAATAAATGTATCATTGTGAGCAAGTTTTCTCTGTAATGAGTATAAATAAAACAAAGCTGCGCTCAAGGCTCACACAAGAACTTGAATCACATCCTGAAGTTGGCCGCCACTCAGGATGTGACTTCTGATGTTGATGCTCCGGTGAAAGCTAAAAGATGTAAAGTAAAATGAGTCAAATATACTTTAAGTGCTGCATGAAACTGATCTTGCCATGTGATCTGTAAGCTCTTTGAATCACTAAGGAATGTTTTTTTTATTTGTTGATTTATTTTTTTTTTCTTTTCAAATTTTCAAGTACACTTCAGGTGTTGTACTTGTACTACACTGTCCTCAGGCTCCAGCCTTGTTTTATATTGATTGTATTAAAACAAAGAAAACAATCTGAAGTTTTTTTTTAATTTACTGGTCCGGCCCACTTGGGACTAGATTTCCCTCAATGTGGCCCCTGAGCTAAAATGAGTTTGACACCCCTGGTTTAGACGGAGCCTTTAAACCTGACAGTCTTTCATATCTCTGTTCATTAATCACACGGAATGGATACATACTCCATCAAAAACCCCATTAAGTTAAGAGCTGTATCTTATTTCCTCCATCCTGCTAAAATTGGACGAATTTGGAAAAAGCACACCAGTCATTTAAGAGAGAAGTATTTGTGTGTGTGTGTGTGTGTGTGTTAAGCCGTGTTTCTCTGTGTGTCTATGCTCCAGCATTAGCATATTTCTCTGGATGGCAGAGGTGATGTTGCCCTTTGCACATCTTAGATAGAAAGGGCAGCCGTGCTCCAACATTGACACAATTGATATGTTTGCCGAGACAGGAGAGAGACAGAAGGCGGGTTGATAAGCAGAGGTTTATGAATGAGGTTTATTCTGTCAGCGGGGTAAGGGTGAGAGGGAGCGACAAAGATCCTGAGGGGGAATACGTTAAAAGAAAAAGAGAAAGTCCAGCCACAAAGGCGAAAGCAGAGCTTTGTACAATCTGTCGTCACGAGGTCTCGCAACAGGTAACGGTGTGTCTTTTTCTCTGATTTCCTACCTTTTCAGCTCCTTCTAACTGGCTGTGACATTCCTGAAAGGTTTGACCTCTTTCCTTCAACAAGACTGATTGATTCATTAAGGAAATTAAGGACACTTTGTGTGTCTGACCAACAATTTGAATTGAAAACTCTCACAAGGTGGATTTAACTCCGTTAATTACTTTAGTGAATCAATTTAGCCGAGGCCGTTCGAGTAGTGAGTGCGGAGACAACTGTGTAAAGTACTGCGTGAAGTGTTGTAGAGGTTATTTCAGCCAGTCGGGATTTTTAAGTGACGACTAACGCTAAATGTTTCCAAAAGGTCAAACTAATTACACGGAATGGACGGGTGCCATACGGTGGCTGTTATTTCAATAATCATCCACCCTGCTTGATGTGGACCTATTGTTTGAAAATGCTCTAAAATTAGCTGCCAATCATTTCTGAATGCTGCAAATCACCGGTGAGAGTGTGCTGGCGTATGCCTGGGCCTATTTGTGTCTGAGCGGGTCTAAGTGAATAACACATGGTGGGTCACAGCAAGGGGAGAGGCGAGAAAGCCAGAAGAGCGATGAGTGTTAACAGTGTGTTGTCACCCGGCGTGCTGCATGTTGTTCTGCGTTTGCACGGCGCTCGCATTCTCAGTGGGGAAGTCATGTCTGGCCTGACCGGTTCGCTCTCCAGGCACGTTTTCAGCTTTTCAATATCTACAAAATAAAGAAAAAACTCAATTTTTTTTGCTTTTTTCTCTACTGAAAAAACAAAATTCCACCACTTTCTCAGTCCACTCTCTAAAAAAATGTTTGTTAAATGTTGGAAACATTTCACTCTGCACCTCTCTGCTCAAAATGTCACTCCTGTTCTATTTATAAATACTGTTCTCTTCATGCTTTCTGTTTGACTTATGCACGGGCAGCAAGGACGTAATTTTCACTTTAGAAGTGGGGGGGACAGGGGGGGGGGGGGTATCTTTACAATATGTTCTAATGGGAAACAGGCTTCAACACAAATGGTTGCTTTCGGCTTGGTCCTAGAGCTCAACCAGTGTCAATTTAATATAGCGTAATATTGTTTTTGTATGGTAAAAAGTGCAGGGGTCAAAACTTGACTTTGGAAAAAGTGGGGGGGACATGTCCCCCCCCCCCCCCCCCCAAATTACGTCCATGACGGGCAGGTTTAGTAAAAATCCTCTGTAGGAACACGGGACCCTAACTCCTCCTGTCCAACAGGCGTGTCACATAGTAGACACGTCGTTTTACCTGCAGTCTCCCTTCCAACTGGGAGTGTTTCAGACGCAGAACAGGAGCAAAAGCGTTCCACGCTGCTGATCCTGCGAGGTCACAAAATACCAGATTTGCAACGCAGTGTGTGATTTCAGAGGTTCACACGATAACAAGCAAAGAGAAAGGCAGCTGCATGTATGTGGTTTATTTTCTGTTCTGTTTCCCTTGCTTACGGCGGTTTCACAGGAAATGATGTATGTTTTGTAGGCAACTGGAAATCTGCTTGTGACTTTTATTTTGAAAGTTTCCAGATGTTTTACGCTCGTTTCGTGTTGACTTCATGCCCGAACTGTAGAGTTTGACATGTTCTGATCAGTGTTGGGCAAGTTACTTCAAAACTGTAATGCATTATTTATGACTTGTTACTCTCATTTTAAAGTAATTCATTACATTACAATATTACTGATTTTAAAATGTAAGGCATTACACTACCTTTGCATTACTTTAAGTTACTTTCACCAAAACAACTTCAATATGAATCTGGTCATGTGACGCTCAGTGAGCTCATGGCATATATGTGGAAGGTGATGTGGTGTCTGAGCTAGGATTGCTGTTAAAAACAGTCAGATATAATAACAGTGCTTTAAAATGATTGTTTACTAAATAAAAGCAACAACAATCTGTACTCTCAGCACGCTGCCATCTTATATTATCTGAGCAGGGAGTGAGGTAGTGGGGGCTCCAAGCCTATATTTGCCTTGGTCCCCAAATGCCTTGATACGGCCCTGGATGTGGGACTGACTTCTGGGGTGATCTGATTCTATCACATGTATAAATATTAAATGCTTATATATTATTGCTTTTCACTGGTAAATATGTGTATTGGGGATAAATCTACCTACTTTTTTTCTTTTCAAGCACTTTGTTTTGTTTTCTTGATTTTTATTTGAATAATTTCCAGCCCTTCCTCTAACCTTCCTGCATGCTGCATGTTTTCTCCGTCTTCCAGAAAAACTGTTTCCTAGATTTACTTTCTAACTAATCAGCCAAAGGGATCTACCGAACGCAAAAAAATAAAATGAAAAAGCTTCATATGCGCTGCATCAGCAACGAGTTGAAATCACCGGGGCACAGATTATGAACTCAGCTGAAAAGTACATGAAGTACCAGAGAATATGGGCGGATATAAACGATCGCAAACAAATTACTTTGTTTTGGTGGAGCGATTTTGTGAATATAACAGCGGCCGCGTGCAGGACGCAGCTGGAGTATTTGAGCCATTACCGCTGCATCCTCTCTGCTCATAGAATGCCCACAAAGCTGAGTCCATAAATGACGTCATATATGTGGATACTGGATCTTTTTTCAGGCTTCCCGCAATTTGAATTTTTAGGAAACCCACATCTTGATTCTGAGTTAAAAAATGCGTTGTAATTACCGCATTACTGACAATTTTACCGAGTAAATATTACCATTTTATTTCCTTGTAATGCCTTACATTACCACATTACAGCAAAAAGCAATGCATTACAGTAATTAATTACTTTTGTACCGCGTTACTCCCAACACTGGTTCTGAAAACGTGGAGCGTAAAAACATCCCTATCTCATGTCTCACCAGACGTGACACGGCTGCAAAGCCGCCATTGTAGTGGATGGGTTTCTTTGTACCGGCAGCGAAGCGTAACAAGTTGGATGTGTCCCAGAAGAACAAGAACGCATTTCTCACTGTGCTATGCTTCCAAAACATGCAAAACTCTGCATCTCAGGTCAGGCCAGACAGGAAATCAAACACGGAAGCAGTAGAAAACATCCGGAAACTTTCAAAATAAAAGTCACATGCAGATTTCTAGTTTTCTAGTAAAAAACATACCTCCTTTCCTGTGAAACCTCTGTAACCGAGGCAAACAGAACAGAAGAAAAACCACAACATTTTTTGGATACATGCAGCCTTCTTTCTCGTTGCTTGGTATCGTGTGAACTTCTGAAATCATGCATGGTCCTAGAATTATGTGATTTTGAGACCTTGTGGGATGCTTTTGCTCCCAGTTTTGCATCGGAAATACTCTTGGTTGGAAGGAACCTGCTCTATTATGCCACATGCCGCTTTTGCATCTGGTGGAAAAGAGGGGATAGACCTGAAATGTTAGCATTACATCCTGCCAGGGGTAAGGCACCCTTCCACTATAACAGCAGCAAATTGCTGCAAAGTATATTTCACAGCCATTTTGCTATCCATACACATTCGGTGGAAAGTAACGGTAACGGCATATTGGGAATTAACCAGGCACTCAGAAAAGCAACCATTTATCCTTTTTCTTTTATTTATTATCTCTTGGTCTTCTTCAGCAACAATCTAAACCAGTTTTTCTGTATTTTTACCAGATATGGAGTTTGTTTGGCTCTACTCCCTTTGCCAGTGCACTTTGTCGGTTTGTGTGATCGTAGTCAGCGTGAGGTTGTGCATGGTGGTCAGCGGCAGCAGGCCTGTGACGGACGCCCGAGCTGGAACTCAGAGTGCCAAGATCCAACTTGGGAACATCTCGTGCTGCCTGCGGTTGTGCCTGGGCTATGTGGGGGCTGTAGGTGGAGCGCTGGGAGTCCCAGTGGCTGTGTTGCTCAACCTGCGAACACCCCAGTGTCTCTACACCTGCATAACCCTTGTATGTTGCCCCTTGCTGATCAGACAGTTTACCATGTTCCTGTTAATGATACTGACGCTGGACACACACCTGCAGCACCACTTGGCCGACAGGTAAGTCAATCAAACCCAGATAAATTGGTTCAGGTGCATTACATTCCTCTCCTGCAGCTGCACATGCAAAACTGCTAATGAGCAGAACTTTCTCTGAAAGGAATGCAGCCCTCATTACAATGCACCTGTGCTTGCTTTGGTAAGCCCAAGCGCCTGCCAAGAAAGAGCCCCGTTAGGTGTGGAAAAGCGTCAAACAGTAAAAGGGTCCAGACGATTACAAATGACATGAAGTCTCTTCAAAATGAAAGAATATCTTAAAGGTGCACTTGGCACCTCGGTGCTCTCTTGTACATGCGTGGGGAAGGTGAATGTGTGGGTAGCAAGAAAACCAAAACCCTCAGGCCGGCTTTCAGGAATAAGTAAGGAAAATCAGTGTAAGTGAAGAAGAAATAAGAAATAAATAGCATGTCAAGAAGCACTGCTGTATGGAATTCTTACATCAGAAAACCGTTTTTCATCATGTTCTGCTAATAGCAGAGAAACGTTGAGTTACTGCGACACTATTGGGACTATATTTTATGTGAAAATTAAATCTAAGCAGCTTTTTTCACATACAGGCACTGACTTATGTAGGAAATTTACTTTGTGACACGACTCCTTTCTTAGTGGCCTAGTGGTAGAGTGTCCGCCCTGAGACTGGGAGATCAGGGGTTCGATTCCTGGTCGGGTCATACCAACGACTTTGAAAAAATGGGACCCAATGCCTCCCTGCTTGACACTCAGCATTAAGGGGTTGGATTGGGGGGTTAAACCACCAAATAGTTCCCGAGCGCGGCTGTGTCTGCAGCTCACCGCTCCCTCAGGGGATGGGTCAAATGCGGAGAACAAATTTCGCACACACACCTGTGTGTGTGTGTGACAACCAATGGGACTGTAACTTTAACTTTTTTACTGTCTTCAGGAAATGTTGCAAAAAAACACTCTAGACATGAAACGTACTAGATGTTATTTTAGGTGACACCATAAAGTCTCATTTTCTGCATAAAGATACTTTTGTTTGTTCATTTTTGGAAATAAAATGTATTTTCTTAAGTATTTCTACTATTTTGTAGTTTGACAGCAGTTTACTACTAATAGGAACGTTACTGTCAGCTGAAAGTTTGATTCTTTAGCCTGAACTTGAGTGCATCCTCAATATTACCTCCAAACTCACCTGTGTCTGTGTCTGGCAGGTACTCTGCAGTGGTGACCCGGAGAAGAGCCCTGTGTGTGGTCTTGTTGTGCTGGGTGGGCTCGGTTCTGTCCTCCTTTGCACAGTTCATTGGCACAGATGTCCTCAGCACCTGGAAGAATGGAGGTACTGGTCCAGGCACATCTGGCCATGAGATAGATGGCAACTGGACAACCTCTCTACCCCGTCTCACCTCTGCTCCAATCCCCAAGTACCGACAAGATCGCAAGGTCATTGGGAAGAACCTTCCGTATGGAGGCTTTTTGTCAAAGTTCTACGTGGAGGACATGCGAAACTTCACCTACGCAGAGATCCACAGCAGCCACTGGGGCGTATGCGCAACAGACACAATTCTCAGTCCCCAGTTTCTTGTCTACGTGCACGGGATTACGGTGGTTTTTCTGCCTCTGCTTTTCTTACTGGTCGTTTTCTTCGATCTGCTGTGCATAAAGCCAAAAAAGACTCTTTTTGGTCACGCAGGTCCACCAAAACACACGTCTACTCTGGTCCGCTTCGTAGCCCTGTCCATCTCTCTTTTAGTTCTGCTTTGCCTGCCACTTTACATCATTGAGGCTCTTTTGCTTTTCACCCCTGAAACTCATTTACCTGCTTGGGCTCACGCCGTGGCCATGTTCCTCTTTCAGCTGTACAGTCTTGTGCCCCAGATCCTCTTTACGCCTCCAAGGAAACGAGTGGGAGAAGAACGGGCATCCTTCCCTCTTGCTGTTTCCAACTTCAAAGTGGCAGTAGCCCATGCCGGAGGAAAATCTGTCCGCCTGGCACTGCGTGAGGCGGTGCAGTCAGCTCCGTGGTCCTCGGCCAAACACTCTCTTAAAGCCAAAGTGTGCCCAGAGGTCTAAATTTCTTTGTAAGGTAAACAATGTGCATTTTATTCTTTCAAAATTTGCACATTTTCAAACATTCAGAATGAATAAATAATCAGAGGACAAATCTTTGTGCATACATTCAAATGTAAATGACTAGTTGACTGGAAAATTACAGAAACATCCTTGGTTGTTTTCGGGTTTCATATCCAATCAGCAACACCGTGTGATGGTTTGTTTACTTGCAAATGAAATGTTCAGCCAATTATTAGAGCTCCCAGCAAATGTCAGAGAGAAGATGAAGTCTCTAGATGGTGACGATATCTTGATCAAAGATGTCTGCTTTCATTGACCGCTCTTCCTATGGGTTTTCTGCTGAGCTTCTTTTAAATCTCCGCTAAGCTAAGCGGCAGCAACGTAGATGCATGTGTGACATGGTTTAATTAAACATCCATTAATAACACAGTCCAGAGAGAATCCGCCTTTGCAAAGGAAGCATAATTAACCTGGTTGTGACACGATCTTTATGGCTGTTTTGACTTTACGTGTGAATGCAACGTGACGCTCTGCTGAAATTAAAAAACGAGTCTTGCTCACAATAATTGGATTCTTCATCTTGGACCATGTTGGTGTTAAGAAATCACTGAGGGAGAGAAATGGATAAATTTCCTTCTGCAAAGAACAAGAGCATGAAAGTCAATATGTCTTTTGTGTTTCCACTATTATAGACTGTCAAACTTTAGAAGACTTTCTAATGATCTCCCCCCCCCCCACCCCCCAACCCGGCGTGGCCTACTTCTCATACCCTGGTCTTGCTCTCCATCGTATTCCTACAAACGTTTTGTGGTTTATGAGACTGTTTTTTGGTCATTACAAAAAGCCCTGACTCACACAGTATTGATGAAGCAATCCGGTTAAAGGGAGACAAGGCCGTTTTGGCAAGTTTTTAGCACCCCCTAGTGTTTGTTTAGTAGAACCAAAAGCAAAACCTATCTCCTCGCTGTGCGTTTGTCTTTTTAACATCTTAATCTAAGAGCAGAAATGTCTCCCCAGCCTTCCTTAGTGTCAACAGGAGCAGATCATCACTAAATAAAACAAATTAACTGTGTTCATGATCTCAAACATGCAGGAAATGTGCTGGAAGCAGACCTCAGCGCAAGGAAGCCAGCTCCATGTTTTACTAAGACCAACAGACTGGAGCGGCACTCTGAAGATGCAAATGCAGTATTCTGGCCACAGAGGGCAGTAAGGGTCTGGCTCAAGAAAAGTATTTAAAAATATAAAACATTTGAAAAATGTCCCTTTAAAGAACACATTCTCACTTCCAGCGCGCCAAAAACAAACGCTTGGTCAGGCACCCTCCGCCTCAGACCCCTGACGCCAAAAATGCCCTTTTTCGTCACTTATGTGCGAAAAGGGGTTTTTCCCTTTTCTGGCTGCAGATTCCAATGCAGCGTAAAACTGACGTGATGGGATATCCGCTGATTCAGCACCGAACCAGCTCATTTAACCGCACCTAAACCTTAACGTTTTGCTGTTTATAACCTTCCCCTCTCCCTCATCCTAACCTTAACCCTCTTGCTACCTAAAACGTTACTCTCACTGTGATCAAGCGTCTGTTTCACATGCATTCTGACTGGGAATTTTTGTATTTGCCGCCCAAGGGGAACATTAGAACATACCATCTGGTGAGGGGGAGGTTACAAATACTCTCTGCTTTTAACATCCACCTTGGTAGTTGAAACCTCCCCCTCGCGTTGCCTCGGTCCAAACCCGACCAATGACGAGGCGGCTCCCGCCGTTCACTTCATAGAGCCGGCTTTTAGAGTGATCGACACATCACTACACTGTAAAAAAAAAAAAAAGTCCAGTGAACTTAAAAAAGTAAAGCAACCAGTTGAAATACAATTTTAAGTTCAGTCAACTTTTTAGGTGCTGTTTTTCTGTATTAACTCAACATTTTGCAAGTTAAAACGTTCAACTGACTTAAAACTTTAAACTCTCCAAACAAATTGCAAGTTGTATTTTTAACAGTGTAACGTGTTCACTAGCAAGATGGTTAAGGTTAGGATAGGGGTGAGGGGAAGGTTAAATAAGAGGTTAAGGTTAGGGTGAGGTACAATGAGCTTGTTTGGTGCCCTGGCTGCGGACATCCCATCACGTCAGTTTTACGCTGCATTGGGATCTGCAGTTAGAAAAGGGGAAAAACCCCTTTTCGCACATAAGTAACGAAAAAGGGCACTTTTGGCGTCAGGGATCTGAGGCGGAGGGTGGCTGACCAAGTGTTTGTTTTTGACGCACTGGGAGTGACAATGTGTTGCTTTAAAGCACAACATCAACAACAAAAAGCTCCCATGCTCTTGCAGTGCAAACGTCCGTTCACTTGTAATGTCTGCCTGGAATCTTTCTGCTTCCCAATTGGTCTGACAGCTACACCAACACAAACGTTTCACCTCAATCAATGCCCAGTGTTATACCATCACTACACACACACACACACACACACACACACGCCACGTGCAGCAAACACATTCAAGACCAAAGAACAGACGCTGCTTTCAACAATTGACCAAACTGTCTAATCCACTGTTACAGCCAAGAAAACAAGAGCGTTTGGTTTTAGATTTGCGTTTACTGCATGGTCACAAAAATATGATGTCATAAATCTCAAGTCTAAATCTCTCAGTAAGAAAAAAGTCAACTATTCATGGATATTTTCTACCATTATCTTTCAGGTATTATAAAACGACAACGCCAATGTGTCTCAGTCAAGAGCAAATATTTCACAAGAATTTGTTTTTACAATACTTTGTATTGTTTTTAGGACATACAGATAAAAAAAAACCATCACACAGCAGTGTTACATAACATTAGTCCTGGGGTGACGCTGGCACAGGAGTTAAGTGATCGCCCCGTAATCGGAAGGTTGTAGGTTCGAGCCCGGCTCAGTCTGTCGCTGTCGTGTCCTTGGGCGAGACACTTAACCCTCCTTGCCTGCTGGTGGTGGTCGGAGGGACCGGTGGTGCCAGTGCTTGGCAGCTGTCAGTGCGCCCCAGGGCAGCTGTGGCTACATTGTAGCTCATCCCCACCAGTGTGTGAATGTGTGTGTGAATGGGTGAATGACTGATTGTGTTGCAAAGCACCTTGGGGGGTTCCAGGACTCTAGAAGGCGCTACATCAAATGCAGGCCATTTACCATTTATCCGGTAAAAGTTGATCACAAATTGTGTTAGGATAGCCTGAAATGCGACTTACAAACACGGGGGAACAGAATTTCTCACAGCAGCACAAACGGCTGTACATGAACTTACTGGCATTCATTCTTAGAGGAATATCAACATTGTATGGTTTGTCCTGATACACTTTTTCCTCACATAGTTGATAATTTTTGTGTTTATAAGTTTTACATAAAGTCTTGATAACAATATTGGTAAAATTCTCATTGGGACTAATAATTATATCATTCAGAAATTGCCCGAGCCAATCAAGGGTACCAGATTTTGGGGTTTTCACTTTTCATTCTCCTGAATAGTTTTCATTGTGTTTAAAACTTTGCTTTAAAAATTAAACCAAAGACCCACAACTCTCAGCCTAAACCACTGTTATTGTAGAAGATCATGATGGCATTTTAGCTACTGCTACTGGAGAAAATGACCGCCATCTGTTATTGGCCTCATGTTTGTAGTTTTACATCAGCCTGTCACGGATTGGTGGTTTAACCCCCCAGTCCCACCTCTTAGAGACAATGTGTAGTTTTTGCCATTATTTCTGGAAATAACCATTAAAATGTAGTTAAAAATGAATGAAATGATGCCCAGTTGTTGAAAAATGTTGGCAGCTTTGTAACATTTAACCATAAAAATCAGGTCTAAAATAAATGGTGGGTCTAAGTCTCTGGAAGACACCATATTAGGTGCCATGTTTCTTTCTACAGGAGCCTATGAGGACAAAATGCATTTACTGATCTGTAACAAATGGTTCCAAAACTTTCACCATTCTTAAATATTGTTTTACACATTTATCTCTTCACATATTGCCAGTGATGAAAGGGAGTCTGGTGTAGTCGTTATTTAGTTAAGTTTGCACTCCTCAGGGCTTTTTGACCCTAATGGGCATCCATTGGTAAGGTCTTACTCCAACACAAAAATACTGCTTGCTTGCAGTGATTTAAGTATCTACTGCCCCCTATCGTGTATCGAAAAATACACACTGTCACTTTAAAGCCAAGTGTCAAGCAGGAAGGCATTGGGTCCCATTTCTAAAGTCTTTGGTATGACCCAACCGGGAATCGGACCCCGATCTCCCAGTCCCAAAGGCAGACACTCTTCCACTAGGCCACTGAGCTGGTCAACACGGTCATAAGACAAGCTTTTCCTGGAACTTTCTTGGCCCAGATGATGCGTAGCCACCGGGGCGATCGCTCTTTTTCAGAGGCAGAATGTATTTCTCTGAATGACGAACACATCGTGATGTTGTTGAATGTAGCTTTCCATCATCTTTAGGAGCTACTGGAGACACGATACGTCATTCCCTCCTGACACCAGAACCTGCAGCACAGCCGTTACTGATAACATGCACCTCTGGATTAACCCTAAAGACACTGAAACAAAAGCATCAAACGATGGGACACGCTGATGAAATACAGTTTGGCGCATGTCCTTGAATCTTGGACATCAGATCACTTAAACGCTCCAAAGAACTGGTGAGCAAACAAAACAAGAGTATAAATACATGTTTTGTGAGAAGAAGAAAGAGAAAGACAAAAGACAAGTGGTCTCAATCTCACAAGACGTACGACAAAAAAAGAAATCAGGAACTTTTCTTGAAGGACACACTCCTGTTTTGACGAATTTTAAAGGAGCAATATTCTCCTTTTTATTGCTCATCGACCACAAGTCTGATAGCGGGAGCTACCAGAGCCACCTCTGAGTCATCATAAACTGAAGATATGTCTACTTTCCACTGAATTGTTTGCTGTCAGGAGCGTCGACTCATGCCGGTAGCGCCGGGCGAGTCCATTACTTTGATTGCCGTTTGACAGTCTGTCTTTATGACAGGCGACTGTGGAGCTTCACCATCGATGGAAGAGAAACACATCGATCTATCACCTTGTGACCTCCGGCGGCTTTCACACCCAGCCTTGCACACAGATGGACATGTTGAGTGCTCCTCAACAGAATCGGGTATCGATTGCGTGGAAGTTAATGGCAGAGTCATATTTTTCTGTGTGAATCTGACTTAACCCTCATGTCACCCCTTCTTCCCCGCTATCTGTTCTTGTGATTCATTAACCTCGCCACATCACCCGCCGTTTTGTTTATTCTGCACGAGCTGCCATTTCCAGCTGGCTCCGTCGCCTTTATTTTTATCTTCCTACCCATAATTCTCCCATTCCCCATTGATCTAATCAAACACTCTTTCACCTGTTTACTTTTCAAAACATCTCAAGAACAGCGCCTGCCGATTGCACGGTAAACACACCACAAAGCAGCCGGGTATTTTTGGATTCTCTTTTATTTTGTCGTGCTTTGTATCCTTCCCCTATAAAGAAATAGTTAGCTATATATCAACAGTGACACGTGGACTCTAAAATAAACGAGTGTGTAAGACAGGAGAAGAGACGACTAGGCACAAGAGACAGAGAGAGAGAAATACTGAGAAAGAGAGAAAAGGTAGGAGGAAAAAATAACAGCATTTCTTTTATAGTAAAACCAAAAACAAACCATGAAAAGTGTACATTTCTTTAACATTTACAATTATAATAATAACAACGGCAATAATAATAACAGTAACAACAATCGGAATTGTTCAAATAATAATAATAATCATTAAAAAACTGATAAGACCTCTGGTTTCTCAAAGACAAATGATTTTTTTATTCTTTTTCATCATTTTTTTAAAGATCACTGGACAGTAGTTTGTTCGGTTTGCACCTCTATAGGCTAATATTCTGTGTTAGTATAGTTGCTTCATAATGCGTTTCAATAGTAAACAGTTTTCTTAAAAGTTTCATTTAATTTACGTCACTGTTCTGGTTTTTTATACAAAGACTTCAGTGATATGTATGCTTGTTCTGCCGACGTGTTTACCGCATGTATGAATGTGTGTTTGAAGCTGCACGGGAAATAATCCATCCACTCGGTTCACTCATTCACTTCTTCTATCCTTCCTAAGGACTTTAAAACCTTTTGAGCCTCTTAATGACATTCGAAAAATAACGAAGCTTCTTTTTTTATGTCTTGGCAAGTCACCTTCCTTTCTTCTTCCTCAGGAACGCAGCCCGGCGCTAACCCTCTCATTCCTCAGGGCCAACGTTAGGAGCAGCAACAGACGGGGACAGAGAGGCTGGACTATGTTGTAAACTAGTGACAGGAACCGAGAAGCATATTTTCCTTCACTTTTGCAGTTAAAAGGTACAAACTTACTTTTAAAGGGGACATATTATCCAAAATCCTTTAGTGCTACATTTTGAACTCTACTTCCTCTATAAACTCACTAAATGTGAATAAAAACCATCTATTAATTTTCTGTTAGACTTCAGGAATCATAAGCTTCTGTGAATCATAAAAAAGCTAGCGTAGAGCCACCTGCTCACTTTCGGACGCTTACAGATGCTGCCGCGTTGGACCTGGAGGAGCAGCGGCTCAACTCCGAGCCCCTGCTGGGTATCCGAGCTCCTCGACCCATAGCAGCCAATAACGGAATTGGTGGGCGTGGCCAGTAACAGCTTATTTGCCCCGAAACGGCTCGTTCTGAAACTTCTTGATTTTGTTAAAAGTACTTCACAAACAAGTTTTGTACAGATCATAGAACTTTAAAAACTTTATTTTTGTCCCCTATAAAAACCAACTTGCAGCCTAACCGAAAAGTTACGTTTGGGCCTAAAAAGTAGATACTTCCTGGTACTCTGGCTGCTCAGCGGACAACGTACTTTGGCAATTTACCATCGAGCGATAAATAGATCCTGTTCAGCTCTCCCCATCTTAGCCCCGCCTCCATCATCACGCTGCTCGCCCGCTGTCTCCTTCAGTTGAAGATTGAGCTTTGTGAAATGGGTTCTTCTATTCTCCAGGCAGCGAATTATAGCAGTCATCTGCCTCTAATTCCCCTTCCACTTTGGCGGCGACACAGCCAGAGTGCCGCTTTCCATTGTGTTGCCCTCTTCCCTCTCGATCAAAATAATTATGGCATCATTTCGCTTTTGTCTACATTCACTTCACTCTGTCTCCGATGTCTCGCGCTGCCTCTGCTTCCCCCCAGTGTCTTCGACTTACAGTGGTGTATACGGCGCGGTCGTTAGCGTCTGCGTGGCCTGGAGGCTCTCCGTCTCTCCGGCTGTCTCAGGGGTTATGGGAGTGTGTGTGGAGCTCATGGAGTGGAATGGAGTGTGATGGATGGGCTGTGTGCAGGATCTGTATACAGTCACTTTCAGAAGGCCGCCTGTCATGGCGCATTGTATAGAAATGTTTGTGAGTGCGTGTGTGTGTGTGTGTGTGTGTGTGTGTACTGTATATAAGTTGGGAGAAAAGGGAGAGGGACTGGAAAGGGGTGCGAGGTCAGAAGATAAGGGATCAAGGAGAGAGAAGGGCTACAGTAGGTACTCCTTCTTGCCCTGGCTGACGTCGTTCCCGTTGAGGAAGGCCTCCTGCACCTCACCGTGTTCATCCAACCCGCTGGCCTCATGGGTAAGATAGGAACCTGGAGGAAAAGAGCAAGAAAGATGGCAGAGGAGAGGTAGAGAGAGAGGAAGAAACAGAAACAGAGAGAGAGGGAGATTGTAGGGGGAAGGTTAGCTGGCAAAGCGTCATGATCACTGCAGAGCCATGGAGCATTGTCACACCGATCAGTGCTAATATTATAGTCTTCCGTACCTATGACTGATTAATTCATTAGTTAACTGACTGTTAGGTCAATACCAGGTAAGAATAGGCTCTCGTGTGCGGTAAGAGCCTACAGGGCAGAAAATTAGAGGTGGCGGATGGATGCATGAATAGAAAAGTCATAAGAGGTAATAGGAAAGGGAGAAATGTGGAGAGTAAAAGGCGGGGAGGGAAGAGAAATAGGCAGAAAAGAGTGGAGGGAATGTCAGGTGCAAGTGAACAATTGCATGTTTGCATCACCCAGAAAAGAACAATAAAACTCCTTTAAACAACCCTGGAAGTCCATATAACAAAACGGTGTGTGTGGCGTTCTTGACACAAAACTCCAGCCGGAGCGTCCTTTTAGCCTCGGAGTGATCGACACTCTCATTCTCCTCACCACAGAGGTTGGATGGCTTGCTGACAGTCGTGGCGGACCAAAAACAAAGCCCTAATGGCCTTGTCTCAACATTGATTGGTTGTAATGGTGCTGTCTCTGTGCTGATTGGCAGTTAAGCCATACTGAATGTTGACAGACATCTTGTCCAGCCATAGGGTGAGTAATACTGGCTGCAGCTGCCTACTCTATTCCCAGATCATCTATTGGCAGCTGCAGCGCATCGTGTACCGCTGCCAACGAGGGGGCCACTTAAAGAGATAGGAAACAGGGTCCAGGCTTCTTCTGAGCCACAATGCACTAACATACAGTCATAAAACACTGGGACCACACCTAGCCTTCCCACCCCACCCTTTCCCTTCAATCACCCCGGCCAAGATCGTTTATTATGGACAGCGCCTCGCTAGAGAGGAGCATCCCATTCAGTCCAGGTCTGTGCTGGCTATTTTACACCTTCGTTTAAAAGATTATCCACCAAGAATCTGGTGGTAGCTGGACACAAATGACTATTTCACTGCAATCTTTGCCAAAAAAAGTGTTGCAACCATGCAGTTCCTAATTTAAAGTTTTGTTATTTGGAGTGTGGCTCGAAGGATGTGTGTGTGCATTACCTTTCTGCCGGACGGAGCACCAAATGGTGACGATGAGGACGCAGATGACGGTGAAGACCAGCAGAGCTAGAACGCCACCTATCACCGCGTACGGTACTGCGCTGTGGGTCTCTACCACTGCACCGGGATCTGAGAGGAGAGAACAAACACGCGAGCGAGACAAAAAGTGTGCGTCAGTAAACTGTAGTGGGGGGGTTAAACGAAAAGCACGAAATCTGGAGATCATGAAAGACAAAGAAATGTGTTGCTGAAAAAATGAAAGGAGGAGATTAAGGAGACGCAAAGAAACACCCGCCTGGGAAGGCGTACTGGGAGCAGGACGTGAGAAAAGAGAATTTGGTATCTTTTTACCCAACTTGTATTATCACCTTTCATCACTCCCCCACCCTTCCCCCTGACTTAGAGGAATGCCAGACAGTTTGAATTGGGTGAGGAAAAGGGGGAGAAATGAGCAAAGTGGATAAAAAACAAGGACGTCGGCTTCCATCAGAGCAGCTGACAGGAGCACAATACAGTTAGAGGGATGAGAACTTTAGAAGAAGAAGAAGAAAAGATCTTCTCTGTAGCGCCTCTCAAGATAAAAATCACGAGGCGCTTCACAACAACAAAAAATGTAAAAATATAAAAAATAATTTAGAAAATGGTTAAAAATATATTTAAAATCAGCAAAAAAATAGACAATTGTGATTAAAAATGTAAAGAAATAAAGAGAGAGTGGCGAAGAAGGTCATACAAAAGCCAGCCTGTACAAGTGAGTCTTCAGCTGCTTTTTGAAGGAGTTCACCGAGTCCACTGATCTCAGGCTCAGGAGGAGAGAGTTCCAGAGTCTGGGGGCCACAGCAGCAAATGATCTGTCACCTTTGGTCTTTAGCCTGGTGCTGCACAACCAGCAGGCTTTGATCACTGGACGTCAGGGACCTGCTGGGGGTGTAGGGACTAAGAAGATCACCAATGTAAGATGGTGCTTGTCCATGTAAGGCCCTATAGACCAGAACCAGGATCTAGAAATGAACCCTGAAGTTGACTGGCAGCCAGTGAAGCTGGAGGAGAAGCGGGGTGATGTGGGTGTGTTTGGAGGACTTGGTCAGAAGCCGAGCACAGGCATTCTGAACCACCTGTAGACGGTTCAGGGAGGTTCTGCTCAGACACGTGAAAAGAGAGTTACAGTAGTCTAAGCGTGAGGAGATGAAGGTGTGGAGAACTGTCTCAAGTTCAGACCGAGACAGAATGGGACTCAGCTTAGCAATGTTCCTGAGATGGAAGAAGGAAGAGCGAACAAGAGAACTGACATGAGAATCCAGGGTGAGAGCTGGGTCAAAGGTCACGCCAAGATTCCTGACAGAAGGTTTGGTGTGAGACGCAAGCTGACCAAGAGAGTCTCTGACTTTGGGAACCAGCTTGTCTGGGGCACAGATGAGGATCTCAGTCTTATCTTCATTCAGCTGAAGAAAGCTCCCAGCCATCCAGGTTTTAATGGAGTAAGCAAGTGTGTAACAGCTGCAGCTTAGACGTCTCATGGGGCTCAAAGGAGATGTACAGTTGGATGTCATCTGCATAAAGATGGTAGGAGATTCCTTTGAAGGAGGTCAGGATGTGCTGAAGAGGAAGCAGATAGAGGAGGAAGAGCAGAGGCCCCAGCACAGAACCTTGTGGGACACCATGGGTAAGAGAGGTGATGGAGGACCTGAACTTGGAGACAGCCACAGAAAAGGAGTGCACAGAAAGATAAGAGGAGAACCACTCCAGAGCAGATCCTGATAGGAGTATTTATAAGCTGAGTTATGAGGAATAACAGCCAGAAAGCACCATTTGCAGGCGGCTGAGTAAGACATCATAAAAAAATCTGTATTTGGAATTTGCTTTTACTCATACTTTTAGTATAAAATAGAGTTGTTCTTCAATTGTTCACGTTTGCCAAGTAAACTGACCTTTGTCCTTAAATTTGATTTCGTTTAGTTTTGGAAACAACACAGTTTTGTTGTTTGGGACTCGAATCAAAGAAAGTTACAACAGGAAAAAAAAGTTTACTCGTCTTTTTTTTAACACTTTTGCAGTGGTTGTTAGTCGATCTCTGAAGAAAAAAAAAACGCTCTGGCTCTCACGTTTCAGGAGAAAGAAGTTAGCCGGAGGAGGGGGAGCAGAAAAGGGCAGGATTTGGAGTTTGACCCCAACTTCACACTGGAGCGACAAGAAACGGTTCACTAACGAGATTCCCTTCCACACCGGGGGAGTGTCAGCCATGGAGCGGCTTCTCCGCCGTCCTCCTCGTTGGACTCGCAAGATCACAAAATCCCGCGAGACATCAAAGGTCACGTTTGTTTATGCCATCTGCCATTAAACCACAAAGAAGGAGGAGGAAATCACATTTGATGTCATCTATGATGTTGTGCATCTCCATTGCCAGTGTGGCAAAGTGGAGAAGGGAGGGCCCGGCGGGATTCGATCCCCAGACTCCCTGGTGAGAGTCATGCATGATAACCAGCTAGCCAAAGGGATATCCCCATGGCCAAGAAGCCAGGGCGCATGATCTATCGGGATACAGTGACAGAAAGCTCACCCTGTCACACAAGCATGAAACACACACCGTTGCACTTCTCAAACGATGCTGGGAGTAAATAAACTTTTAGGTCACATGTACTGACGCAATCTACATAGATAAGACATCGCAATGCTACAATGGTCCTTTATTTTGAAAATTACCAGATGTTTTACACCAAAACCGTGTTCTAGCCCCGTCAGTCTCTATTTCTCTTGTCCGATGGCACCATCTAGTGGCTGACAAGCATATCACACAAAAAGTCTGTCGCTCTTTTTTTTAAGATGGCGACTTTACGTTTCTGTTTATAAACGTGTTTCTGTAGCCCACACACAGAGCTAAAACACATTATTGTACAAGAATTATTCTCATGTCATGCTGTGCTTTTATCCATCCATCCGTCCGTCCATCCATCCATCCATCCATCCATCCATCCATCCATCTATTTTCATCCGCTTATCCGGAGTCAGGTCACGGGGGCAGTAGCCTAAGTCGAGAGGCCCAGACTTCCCTCTCCCCAGCCACTTGGGCCAGCTCCTCTGGGAAAATCCCAAGGCATTCCCTGGCCAGGTGAGAGACATAGTCCCTCCAACGTGTCCTGGGTCTCCCTTTAGACCTCGTCCTGGTTGGACGTGCCCGGAAAACCTCACCAGGGAGGTGTCCAAGAAGCATCCTGACCAGATGCCCGAGCCACCTCAACTGGCTCCTCTTGATGTGGAGGAGCAGCGAACCTACTCCGAGCCCCTCCCGGATGACCGAGCTTCTCACCCTATCCCTAAGGGAGAGCCCAGCCACCCTGTGGAGAAAACTCATTTCGGCCGCTTTTATCCGCGATCTCGTTCTTTCGGTCCCTGCCCAAAGCTCATGACCATGGGTGAGGGTAGGAACGTAGATCTACCGGTAAATCGAGAGCTTCACCTTCTGGCTCAGCTCTCTCTTCACCACGACAGATCGATACAACTCCCGCATCACTGCAGATGCAGCACCAATCCGCCTATCGATCTCACGCTCCAGTTCTCCCTCACTCGTGAACAAGACCCCGAGATACTGTGATTTCATATATTTATATTTTAAAGACTTTCTTGTCTGTTAAAAGTTCATCAAGTCCGCATCAGCCTTAAATTTGAAGCATCTAAGCGGCAGTCTAACGCCATTGGTTAGTTCTGGTCGGCGCTCAGTTCCCTATTGCACAGAGCTCTGCGGGGCAGGGGGCGTGCTAAGCAAAGAAAAAAAAAGACATATTGCTTACAATATACCACAGTACATGATAAAATAATCACTTTTAAGGATTTCTGAAAAACCATACATCATTTCTGAAAGTAGAAAACTCCAGAAAGTTACTTTAAATGCAAAAATGGATACTTCCCAGAAGTGTCTCATGGCAAAAATAGAACCCGATCCTCTCTTTGGCGGAGAGGCGTGATGCTTCTGGCCGTGCCGTGGCTGGTTCGGATCCACCCTAAAGTCTGTAAAGGGTTCTATTTGAAGCAGCGCCGTTCCGTGCTGCTGATTCCTCCAAGTGTGCAGTTGGGGTTACTCGTTATTTTTTCCTGATATTTGGACATTTTATCTCCACAAATAACTCAAGCCTGTAGAAGTTCTGCTGTGTGGTGGAGTCGCTGATGCTAACAGTTAGCTTCAACTAGCCGAGACATTCTCTGCTGTCTCCTGGACGCTAAACAAACAACAGCCTTCCCTGTCGTGAGCCAAGATGGGTGAGTCCATGAATGTTAATTTACAGCGTGACATAGATCTGAGTGGCTTTTCTAACAGGAGCATTTCCCCGTCTATCTTCTGTCAGCGGCTAATACAGGACATGTGGGTAGAAGACTTTTTTCACGTTTAGCCTGCATGTGAAACTCAGAGTGACCGATCATGTTTCAAAACAAACGAGGATCAAATCGTTTCTGCGTGAACCTCCTCTTTGAAAAACCCTCTTTTAAACATTTTTTTTATGTTTTCGGCATTTTTTTTTCCATTGAACTCTTGCTTACAGCTGGCTGGAATAAGACTCAAAGCTCCACCGAACGAGAGAGGTATCTTTTTGTAGCGTCTATGGAGATAATAACAGGTAACATCTTGAAATTAATGGGCTGTAGCATTCAGTTAGTCTGCAGAAAGAAAAGTGAGCCTGGAGATATTGTGATGTTCATGACTTGTTAGTTGGAGGAGCAACAAGCAGCTTGTCAAGGATCCGCATGTTTCACAGACAACAGTCTGACAACAACAAAAGCTGCATGCTTACCAGTGAAGAAAAGGAGGTGGTAATTTAAGCATGAATGTGCTGAAAAATGAACGTCCTTTTGACTCGGAGCAACTGGGCCACTGAGAAAATAACAAAAAACCTTTTGATGGGGCGTTGGCACAAAAAAGATGGTGAGCCCAATAGAAGACAAGGACATGGAGTTATTGATTTAGCTCTTGGACCTTCATGAGGTAGAATGAAAACATGAATCATTAATAAAGTGTTCACACAGATCAGGAGGGAAGGGAAGATGGAGGAGGAAGACTGTGTTTCCCTAGCTTTTACCAAGCCGGGCAACAAACTGATTAAGTGCACGATCACAGACTGACAGATGTGCGTATTATTAAA